CCATGGCGCCTGTGGACGGCGGGGTAGGCGACCCGCCAAGCACGCGTGCACGACGGGACTGCTCGACTCAGCAGCTGACTGGCTCCTCGACGCGGCCGACTGTAACTCACACTCTCCGGTGCTCTCCATGCGCGACGCCGTGTTGATGGTGTCGCCGAACAGGCAGTAGCGCGGCATGGTGAAGCCCACCACGCCCGCCACGCAGGGCCCCGTGTTGACCCCCATGCGCATACAGATGTGCTCCTCGGGCCGGTGAGGCACCACCACGGGCCGGATGCCCTCCAGCAGGTCGAGGGACATGGTGGCGATCTCGCCAGCGTGCCTGTTGTCTAAACAAAGTGACATTCATATCATGATTAGGGTTTTAATTTTCTTGAAAAGTATTCTGCGGTAAATTTTTCATAAATTCGTTTCAATCTTGGAATTTTTTCAAGGATTTTCTTTTTAATTTTTCTGGATAAGTTTTGAACTATAAAATCCTTACTAGCGAACAAGAGTATAAGTTTAAAATAACGTTACCGTTGCGCTGTGGAAGACCGGACACGACCATGTAAGCGTCTCCGATGGTCTCCACCTTGTAGACGTCGTACTTCTGGATGCGCGAGTCGAACAGGCGGTAAACGGTGTTGAGCATGGTGACGACCTGCATCGGGGACGACACGGCCGACAACTGCGTGAAGCCCACAATGTCACTGAAGAAGATGGTTACTGAGTCGAAATTCTCGGCCGGGACCTGGAAAGACAACAGGGCTCAAGGAAACACTTAAAATAATTAAGTTTCAAAAGTTTCGAAAAAAAAAAGAAAGTCCGAAAGAACGCTTGCTCTTTAAAACTGTCAGAAATACGGCGTTTTCCAATGTGATTTCAAATTATTTATTTCCCTGGAAGTTTTCAATCCCCAAACTCGAAGAGATGCGCTGCCACCGACCTGGCGATCCTGCTTGAGCTGCTTGACGACGGCGGGCGGGAGCATCTGGAACAGCAGCCGGTCGCACTTCTTCTTCTCGTGGCGGAGGGCGAGCGTGCGGCGGGCGAGCGTGCCGGCGAAGCGCTGCACCGTCTTGGTGGCGTGGCAGACGAGCAGCACGATGCAGGGGGAGGTGACGAGGGCCATGGCCAGCAGCACGGCGGCCACCACCAGGTCGCGGCTCGCCACCTGCACCGTGCCGTCCACCTCGGCGCTGTGGAACCGGAAACAAAACCGGAAGCGGATGTTTAATCACGGCGCGCGGGGGCGAATCAACCCGACCTCGGCCCCGGGCAAGACAGTTGGACCAGACCAGAGGGCCGAAAGTGAGACTGACCGCCTCCCCCCGGTTCACCCACCCCTCGCCCCTCATGAGGGTGGGATAGGGGTTCAGCGTGAGGTCACGGGGATAGTGCCTCACCCTTGAAAACTACGTGGCTTTCGCAGCATCCCCCGGGGGAAGAGAGGATCACCAGAAGCTGATCTGGGTGGCGCGAGGAAGGGGTTTCCGCCCCCACCGCCACCCCACCTTCCAGCTGATCCCCGCAGACCAACTTTCCTCACTTACGAGATGTTCGCCCGCAGCAGCGCCTGGCACTGGAGCAGCTCGCCGAGGAACCGCGACATGCTGGCGTAGTACTCCCGGGCGACGGACGGCTCCGGGCCCCGAGACACGTTGGCGTCAATCTGCTCCCGCCTGCAACGTGAAGGGGGCCGGCCTCTATTAGCTCGAGCAGCGGTCTCGCCGCAGGGTACCAATTCTCGGAGGGGGAGG